AGCTTTTACATAGTACACTTTTGTTTATAAAATACTTTTTATTTTTGCTCTCAGAGCAATTTTATACCAAAGAGAAAACTGATATGAGATAGATTAGTAGACTGGATGGAAGAATGAGACACTGTGTGTGCGTATGTGTGTCTGTTTTCTTTTGAGCAGTTTTACTAACAAAATCACTTCCTTTCTAAGCATGTGGATATATTGCTACATTTGAGATTGTCTTTTTGTGTTTTTCCCCAAATTTAATAAAATCTATTATCAAAGCCATTATGCAAAATTACACTTAATTATAAATTAAAGCTTCACTACCATCTAAAATTGTAAAAGATTAGTTTGTTAGTTTTACCTGTATACACACATAATATAACAATAGTGACAGTAAGCTTGTAGTGTCAATAACTCTTCTGTGCTCTTTGAACACATTAATCCGTTTAATTGTCTCACCAAGCCTATGATGTAACGACTATGCTCACCTTCCTTTTTACAGATTAGGGAATCAAAGCTTGGAAAACTTTTGTTACTTGGCCAAGAACACAGAGCTAGTAAAAGTTGGAGATAAAATATAAAAGAAATGTTTGGGTTGAAGACATTTTGACTCTAAATGTATCCTCTCAACCACTTTTCTATATTTCATATGATTACATGTGATCCTCACACAAAACTATGAGGCCTGTGGAATAAAAAATGTTTGTCTTTGCATATGAAAAACTGAATCACAGAGCATGTAGAAGATAGAAACCCAACCCCTTACTCCAGCACCAGTAATAATAACGTGACGGGCTACCTCTCATAATAAGATAAGATCAACTGAATTAGATATGCTCATGATCAGTCTTGTAAACTCCAGAGAAAATATCCTATCTTCCATTTAATAGGAAATAGTTTGCATGACTATGGAGTATGAAAAAAGAATACTTCATTTTACAAACAAATCGAAATAGTAATTCTTCAAAGTAATTACAATAGAAATTAGTGTCTCTAGGGAGAATGGATGAAGCTAAATTTTAAAAAGTTTGGTGCACACTACAGGCATTTTTAACTATTATTTTGTATCAAATTGCCTGAAAAGATTTTTTAAAAATGTGTCTCCATTTTATTATTCCATAGATCTGGAAGGGACATTAGGGATCTGTTTTTCAGAGGGTAAAATCTCACACACAGACACTTAGTACTCACTGGTTTAGCATGTTGTTATTTCTGTGATAGGTACCTACATATATTATTTTGTTTAACTCTCACGATAACCTTATTATATTGTGTAGGTTTAAATCTGAGGCTAAGACAAGTTAAAGTATTTGCTCAAAGAAACAGATAAGCGTTTCAGAAGATGTCAGAACTATTTTATGTTCAAAACTGTTAACTCCAGACTACTCTGACCAAATGCACCAACCCTGTGCATAAATAAAACAATATGGTTTTTCAGAAAATATTTGGATATGTTTTTTTCTCTGTGAAGGAATTTCCTAATTTAAGAGTCACCCACTAGAAGGAAATTTTGGTAATGACAGGAAGTTTTGACAATTTGTTCACTTTTCTTTTTCAATTACCTAGGCAGTGACTGGAACTAAATTCTCAGATTTATTAACTTAATGTCATACCGAATATTGCACCTTGACTTATTTTTTTTTTCTGATAATATGTTACTTCATAATGCAGGAACATAATTTCTTCTTAAAAAAATCGAAGTAAATACACTAGACTACAAAACAAAGCAAAAAAAGTTGTTATATGGTCTTCTGCATGAAAGGGACCTCTTTCTCATAAGTCTCTGAACTCTGTTAGTTCTTCCAGTAACTCTGATGTCTTTTTCTTATTATTCATTATTTTTCTTTTATTTTTGGACTGTTAGACTTACAGAAAAGTTGTAAAAATAGTTACCACATACCCCGTCTTAGTCTGTCTTGTGCTGCTGATAACAAAATACCTAAATCGGGTTAATTAATAAAGAAAATAATTATTTTCTCACAGTTCTGGAGGTTGGGAAGTCCAAGATCAAGGCACAGCATGTGGTGAAGCCCTTCGTACTGTCATCTGGAGGGGAGGAACACTGTGTTCTCATATGGTGAAAGGTGGAAGGGCAAGAGAGACAAACTCCCGCTGTTAAGCTCTTTTATAAAGGCGCCTAATCAGGCCCTGTGAGGTGGCTCACGCCTGTAATCCCAGCACTTTGGGAGGCAGAGGCAGGTGGATCGTGAGGTCAAGAGATAGAGACCTCCCTGGCCAACATGGTGAAAACCCGTGTCTACTAAAAATACAAAAATTAGCTGGGAGTGTTGGTGCACACTCTAGTCCCAGCTACTCAGGAGGCTGAGGCAGGAGAATTCCCTGAACCTTGGAGGCGGCAGTTACAGTGAGCCAAGGTCACACCACTACACTCCAGTTTCGGAGACAGAGCAAGGCTCCGTCTCAAAAACAAAAGGGCCTAATCTCTTGTGAGGGAGGTGCCCTCATGGCCCAATCACCTCTTAAAGGCCCCACCTCTTAATATTTTATGTTAGCAACACCTGAATTTTGGAGGAGACACATCCAAACCATAGCAACCCCTCACTCAGTTAACCTTCAGTTTAACACCTTACCACAAAGATCAAAACAGGGAAATCAACATTGATATCCACTTCTATTGTCATTATCCAGTGTTAATGTTTTATCCTCTCTTAATTGAACTACTGTTGTAACCTCATAACAAGTCTGGGCTCCTAATCTGTGTCTGTACTTCCAACCAAATCTGGAGGCCCTAACAGAGAGATTGGCCCACAATATGCGTGTGCTCTTTAACTGAAATTTCTTCCCTGTTTCCTAGAGGGTACAGCCAGTGCTCCCCATCTTGGCATGAAAATTCCCCTATATTTTCTTCTTAATTTGAATATCCAGGCTTAGCTTTGATGGCAGACTTTTTCTGCCATGTCATCCCTCTTTCTGAATATTTTTTGGCAATTTTATCTCACCATCTTCTTTTTACCTAGAAGGTTTTACTCCCAATTCTTCTGCATCTTATGTAATATTCAAATAACTACAACTATTGTACTCTCATGTGTTCGTTTTTGCTAGCTAGTTGATGAGTTACTTGCATCTGGTGGAATGTGTTACACAAGAGGCATTGAGTGCATTTTTTATAACTGCAGATTTTGTAGAACCTCTGAGTCATCATTCTGAGTAGAAATTCCAATTTTACAGGATTATCAACGGCTCAACAAATATTATTATTACCTTTCCATGTTTAAAACACTTCCAAAAGATACTGACTGACAAGATCTTGCTAAAGTTCTATTCCAGTAAACACTGACGTATGCTGCTCTCCCCGCAGTTGCTGAGCATGTTGATTTCTGACAGCCCAACACCCATACTCCCTGCGCCATTTTGTAGTTGTCGTCCCCTGAAGGGAGCTGCTTGGGCCAAGACTAAGGCTCCATTCTCAGGGGGCATCTTGCATGCTATAACTGTTTCCTGCTGGAATATAAAAGCCTGGCCCATTTCCTCAATGGGCATGCCATCTCTAGAGCCCTATGGAGTCCAGTGAGGCCTTTGTTGTGACTGCATCACATCTCAGATGTTTCTGTCCAATTTTGTCTTTTTCACTCCCCCATAGATATTGATTAAAAACACTCTCCAATGAAAGTTTAGCAAGAAATCTTTATCTCAGAGTCTACTTCCAAGGAAACTAATCTTTAACACCTACCTGCTCTTTCTCATTAAATCATCACAGATAATTTATTCACTCACCCATTTATTCAATAAGTAAAGGTATGTTCAAAAACCATTATGTTTTCAGCATTTGTTGGATGAAGAAGACATTGGCCTTGATCTCACAGCATGTGATTCTTGTTATTACACCAGACTTTTTCAATTTCTTTCCGTTTTCAGGAGTTCCCAGAACTTCCCATAGTCTCTCACACTACTTGGCCTTTTCTTATGTTTATCTTCCTGCTTAGAATTCCTTCTCCTGGTTAAATTCCACCTTTCTTTAATGATTTAACTCAAAGGCAACCTCTGTTAGAAAGATGTTCCTGATCACCCTGTCTGTGCTGGACTAAGTGAGGGGTCTATAATTGGTGCTACTGCATTCAGCTGAATTTCTTTTTCTATTTGTCCCTTCCTCCTCTTATTGCCCCTCAAACTGTGAGCTTCTTGAATGCAAAGATTTGTTGTGTGTGTGTGTGTGTGTGCACGTGTGTGTTTATTTACATGTCTGCCAACAATATACTTGGGGAGGCAGGTGGAAGTTATTTTTTTAAAATGGCATAATAATCTATAGCGATGTGGCTGCTCTTTAAATCCAAAATGTATAGGTTTGCTCTTTAACTGAAATTTCTTCCCTATTTCCTACAAGGTAAAGTCAATCCTCCCAATCTTGGCGTTAAAATTCCCCTATATTTTAATATATATACTCCATAACAGGCAAACTGTATATACTCAATTGTTGAATGAATGAATAAAAAATAGTTTTGAAAAAAAGGTTATGATTCTGTTATCCATTATGCCTAATTATGTAAGCAAGATGATTAATTGGTGGTTCAGAGCTAATTTTATATTCTGAATAATTAAATAAGATGGAATAAAATATTCTTTTGATATTTCTGTACAGCTTTTTTTCAGCAGCCAATTTTTCCAGTTATGTTTAGTTGTACTTTTATAAGACGTAAATGTGACATGGTATATTATATTATTAACCTTATATTTCATATTCCTTTGTTAGGATTCCTTTGCATATTCCCCAAGCCCACATGCTTCTAATACTTATCTTTAAAATGAAAGCTACAAAGGAATCTTAAATAATACAGATACTAAAAGTATCTTTATATAGTACTCCAGGACTCTTTCTTTTAAAAGACTTAGGTATAGTTGAAGTTATGACAGAGCAGTTCATCTTCATCTTTTTAAAAAAATTTCTTTTCCTTTTATTCCCTACACATGGATTTCTGTATAAAATACTTGACAAAATGTAGCTCTTGGCAAAGGACAATGTGTTAATTATTATCTTTTTTGTTTCTCTTTTTTATTAGGTACGTCTGTCACTAACGTCACTGCGACCGACGCCGATGACCCAGTTTATGGAAACAGTGCAAAGCTGGTTTATAGTATATTGGAAGGGCAGCCTTATTTTTCCATTGAGCCGGAAACAGGTTTGTGGCCTAAATTTCAAATTATATTTCCCATGTTTTTGCTTCAGGGAGACACTTTTCTTGGGATTTGGATTATGAAATATTATGTCTAAGTATTTCACTGCCTGCATCAATAATATTTGAATATGCAATGTGAGGTACATGGTGAGCCCTAAATCATTTTGATGCTGATCACGACAAATCACAGAGCATTTGTAGGATATCACCTATTTAACACACGGTCTGACACCATTTTTCATCCTGGAATAAAGGGAAGAATGTGCTTATATATCAGACAAACTTAAATAGTAGATTTAAGTAAAAATTCGGTTGCTTATTGGCTGTGTGATACTTGAAAAGTATCTAAGTTGCAATTTGCACATCTGTAAAATGGGTATGGAACGTACTACATAATATTGTGATGAAGATCAGATACAACAATAAATACCAAACACACAGTGCGTGGCATGTGGTAGTCATTCAGTGCATTTTAGATATTATTACATTTGCTACCAGATTCCTCCTTGTAAAACACAATGCTTATATCTATCCATCAGAGCTTGTATGAAGATATTATTATGGTCAATATTAAATCCAGCTAATACCCTGTGATCTGGTGGCACAGATCTTATAAGCCATGAAGTAAGTTATCAAAGAAACAAACAAACAGCCTTTTTAAACCAGGCTTAAAAAAATAGCTTTATAAAAATAAGTTTTTTATAAATGAAGATATATGTTTTTAATTGTTAAATTTAACAGTATATTAAGAGATCAAATATATTTTGTCTGACTTGTAAATCCTATGAGGTTTTGTTGTAGCACATTTAAAAACTATTATTAAGAACAATTATTGTTTAAAAAGCAATACCTTTTTTGTATATTTTCTTCTATATCCAGTGGTATTATAAATTGGGTCTTTTTGTTCACCATTCCCAGTACAAAATAGACACTAATCCAGAAAATACCTATTGAACAGTCACCATGTGCCAGGCACTGGACTAAATATAGGGAGAAAAAAAATCACAAAGGCAAATTTCAGTCTACAGGTATCTCACAATCCATTTCAAAAGACAGATTTTTTTTTTCCACCATAAATAAAGTTAGCATGGTAATGTCATTTAAATAATTTGTTTCTTAGGAATAAATTAGTATGAGGTATAATAAAAGCCCCCTACTAAGTGAGAGGATTTGGACAATTTTAGGTCTCAGTGATATAGATTGCTAAATTAACTGTTGTCAGCAACATTTAATATTTACATTTTTACTCAGCATAATGTGTATCTATATCAACACAAACTCATTTTAGTTTTCTCACTTCCAATCTGACAGATATCAAAATTGTCTGATTTATATTTTAGGAAGTTTATTTGGCACTATAGTGGATAATGTAATGGAGAGAAATGACACTTGAAGAATTCACATAATCCTTTCTTCATAAATGTTGGGTAAATGAAGTTGAGGTTTTTAAGTAAGGCAGATACAATTCAAATAAAAATAGAAGTTAAATTCAATAATCAATAAAAGTTAGACTAAGTTCTTTAGATGAAACATAAATATGTATGAGTGGAATGTAAACATTTTTGGGCAAATGTCTGCAAAATTATGCTTGAGTGTGTTCAAATGAAAGCAGAAAGTGTTAGTTGTCCCTAAGAATCTAAATTAGAGTCTACCTTTGAGGACCTCTCTCTTTAAAAAAAAATAAATTGAGTCTGATACAAGTGTGTGTGTGTTTTAAAGGAGGATATACAAGCTATGCAGATATAGATTAAGGACATTGCTGAACGTGTTTTATTAGAAAAATGAGAAAAAAAGAGGCAATGTCTGTGAATAACTGGAGTTTAAATTCTGTAAGCATGTGGAAAGCAAATACCCTTTGTGGTGACCAAAAGATATGTATTAGTTGGGCCCTTTGGAAAATAGAATGCGGAGACAGAGATAGGAGTGCCAATGGCTTATTAGGGGTCTATGACTGTGAAAAATGAAAGAGGTATGAAGCCGATTTGGGCATGGAAGTTCCTCTTATCAAATGCAGATCTTCTACCCATGCAATGAAAGAGGAGAAAAAGCAGTATAAGGCAATGTACATCTGACAACATCTTGGCCAAACCAATGGGATCCCTGGAGCAAAGATTACTCTTAAAAGGAGTCCCGTGTTGCACATAAATGGCCAGGCTTTAATAAACCCACCATGCTCAGTCATTGGTTGGGATGTGCCTGGGAAGAGCAGGGTCTTGGCTTGGATCTTGAGGTCAATCCTAAGGTACTTTAGCCACAGGGTCTCAGATAACTGCATGCAAATCCTTAAATTAATCCTTTGGCAGGAAAATCCAAATGGTGGGTTTCTGTGCCTTCCACAATGTGTGTGTGTGTGTGTGTGCATACGTATATACATATACACACGCATATACACACATATGGGTATATACATATATGCACATGTATATGAATGTGCATGTGTATATACACACATACATGTATATACAGGTATACGTGTATATATAAATATATACATATATTTATGTATACATACACACGTGTACATGAAGAAAACAACTTTTGATTCTATAAATGTAGCAAATATGACGTTAAAAACTATAATATGCAGCAATAGCAAGTACTTGGTGAATAAACTAATAGTGGGAATAGTAATATATACATTGATTTTTTAAATGCATGCTATGGATCAAAAACATTAAGAATGGCTACTAATTTTGACCCAAGAATCCGAATTCTAGAAAAAGAAAGAAAATGTCACGGATGAGCAGACTCATTACTAAGACCCACACACCTCTGTGAGTGCCTAAGAAGATGGTTCTTTACATGATAGGTCTGTACATTACTTTAGGAAGTGACCCAGCATAGACGGGTTGGAAAATGTTGGCTGAATACCATTACACATCACCACTTATGTGGGACCAACCTTCAGTTCCTTTTTACACCAGGATTCCGGCATACTATCAAGGGTCAATCTGTAGCTAAAATGATCAGTATTGTGGCAGTGAACACTCCCTCACCAGGTTACATAAGGTAGTCATATTCATACTTTTTATAAAGAAGATTGTCCATTGACCACGGTCAGCTCATCTTTGATGTTATCATGTTTTCAACAACAAAAAATAAACCAAGACATGAGACAATAAATCTTGTATGTATCTTGTTTTATTCATGCCAAGAATGCCAAAAACAGAACTCTGGAATTTGGAACAGATAAGTTCTCCTCTCCCCTTGCTTGTTACATTTCACTTCATGGAATTATTTTCTGTTGCCACAACATATCAGAGAGAGCTTCTTCTGTTGTTTCAGTTATCAGCTTAAGAGCACAGAGAGAGAGGCCGTTTGTTCTTTATTTTCTTCTTTGAGCTTTAACAAAATCAGGGTTATCTTGTTTATTGACTTGTTTATATTTTTAAAGTTAATTACCATGCTAGAGTGCCAGGTCCAGGAAAGAATGGGGATTGTATGATTTGTTGATTTTGCAAATCTATGCATCCCTATGCATAGGTGTCTGGCACCTAGAAGTCCTTCAGTAAGTAGTGAAGGATGGAATGAGGGAAAGAAGGAAAGAGGGAAGGAAGGAATGAAGGAAGGGAGAGACGGAGGGAGGGAGGAAGGAAGGAAGGGCAGAGTCAGGGAGAGCTGGAGGAAGGGAAGGCAGGGAAGGATGTGCAAAAGAAGCAGGAAGGATAAAGGAAAGGAGGAAGAAAGTGCAAATTAATAGAAAGAGAAAATCTTGCCACAATTCGTAGAGAAGATGTAAGAGGAAACATCTAGGGAATAGAGCTTGGTATCCAGTCTATACTTCTATCTGTTTCTCTGATGGAAAGAACACCATATTAATCTCAGATATGATTGTTTTGTTTGAAATTCATTTAGGGCTAGCATTCATGCTTTTTCCAAATCCCATACTATGTTTTAAGTGTCTAGGCAACACAATGCTATTCTAGTACTTGCAAAAATGAGCCTTGAGACCATAATAAACTCCTGCTTAGATTTGCTTCTAGATCACACAAGGAGATAGAAAGGTTCTGGGACCACTAAACAAAGAAGAAATGGTTATTAGTATATCTTCCTATTCCAGAGGTCACTGTGATGGTACTACTACTGCTGCTAATAATAACAGCAACAATAGAAAGCCAAATCATTGTGTGCATACAGTCTTTTAGGTTTGACAAAACACTAAACCAAACTGTGGAGTGAAGAATTTCTGTCTCCATTTTGCAAATGACAGAACTGTGTTTCAGAGAGAATGAAGTAAAATGTCTTTCTCACCTTTAGATAAATTCCTCTGTCAAATCATAACAGGAAGAATAAAAACAACAGAATGAGAACCTCATTTATTGAACTCTTACTATGTTCTTGCCATTGTGCTAACAATGGGTTTGCATATGTTAGTGAATTTAATTTAATTTTTTCCACACCATATTTTGAGGTAGGTATCAGTGTCATCTCACTTTTACTGACGAGAGAACCGAGTTTGACTTGCTATGTTTCTTGCCCAAGGTATTTGAAGCAGGATTCAAGGTGAATCTGTCTGATCCCATACCTCAATTTTTGACATTCTCGCTTGCTCCCACTTAACTTCCAAGCAGTATAGTTCATACCAGGGAATGACATTGGTTTGAAAAGAGACCTAAAGAACTTGGCAGCAGGTTCAGACCTACTCTATCCATAGGCGTAGGAGGCAGTGTAGCATCAGAGAAAATGGAAGGCAGTAGTAATTGTAAAATGAATTGTCATTCTTGTGAATAGTTTTTATTATGGTTCTTCAAAGGGCTGAAAATAGTTTATTTTTATTCTAAAAATGTTTTTTTTTTGTTTTCCCCTCCCTGCCACCCCCAATACCATATGTTTGCTTGTAATATTTTGGGCACAGACAAGGAGAAATGTGGCATTTATTTAAAAGGCACTAATTTGAGGACAGCAGTGAGAAAACAGTTGCAGTCCATCCTAGGTGACTGAAGATGGAAAGTCTAAATAAAATGCAAGGCAAGTGAATAATAAATGCTTAATTATCTAAAGAG